GTAACTCAATCACAATTTTAATCAAGAACCACACAAGGAATTAGAGTATCTAGAAACCAAAGAGAAGAGGATGAGAGGGACGAGAGGGAAGGTTCCAAAGGAGTCCCGAACCAAGCAAACCCCATTTGCAACCTTACTTTGACTCTTGTCACATTCCAACCCATGCCATCCATCTCACCTCAACTTGGCCACACTTGCGAACTTGGTTTGGCTTCTCCCGACCACTTCGCATCAACTACAGTGAAGGTGACGAATATTCTGAACCCCAATGGTCTATACCCCATATAGAGTCACTCCAAAAATTTATAGTCGCCACATCACAATCAAAACTTTGAGCGATCATAACTTTCTCGTTCTTGCTCCTATTGCAACGATTCTTGATTTGTCAGAAAGCCATTCAACATAGAAGTCATTTTAGACATCTGCTCAAGCAAAATGACATTCATACACACTCAGATAGTCCAAACCATTGTCAGAATCCCAACCACTAGACCATTGGGATAAAAGGGCTTGTTTCAGTAGCGGGTCAGTGCGCCCATAACCCCCCAGGCAAACGCGCCTGTAACCCCCCCTAGGATCGATCGGGGATCTCACAGTGCAGCTCTACTGACACCCCCCCACACTGGGAGGCCCAGGACTGAGCACAGTGGCAACGGCCAACATGTGCATACACCGGGATTCGAACCCGAGACCGCTCTGATACCATGTCAGAATCCCAACCACTAGACCATTGGGATAAAAGGGCTTGTTTCAGTAGCGGGTCAGTGCGCCCATAACCCCCCAGGCAAACGCGCCTGTAACCCCCCCTAGGATCGATCGGGGATCTCACAGTGCAGCTCTACTGACAACCATGTCAAACCAAAAATCGTACACGCACGCAGACCATGCTTGCAAAGTAGGAGTATATGACGGGAGGCAAACAGACGTGAATGCATATGATTGCATCACACAATAGTAGTCTCACAAACACCTACACTAGCATCCTCTATACAAACTAACCTAGACAGAAAAGAATAATAGTCACCCTCAGCACTAGCACCAGCAGCATACATGTCACACATGCCTACAAAGATCTTGTCCCAATCAAGCAAAAAAAGCTTTTAACGCCCCTCCTAAGCAGTCCTAACCAGCCAGGGACCCTAGCCTGCTCACCGAACTTGTCACTAAAGGCATCCCCGGGACGGCAGAAACAGCAAGCCTCACCGTGCACCAACTTGATGCTGGCATCGCCGGCCTGAGAGCCAGTGCGACGCACTTACGGGCAAGGACCATTAGCAGAGCCACCACCACCTATAGAGCCTCACTGAGCCACCCACTTATGAACCTGCTGGGCGAGGGAGTCTCCTGTCGACGCGGTTGTTGTTGATGTTGCTACTGCAGTCCACCCTCTGAACCGCCGCCTCCACCCGCTGCTCCGTCAGACGCAGCTCCACCAGACGCCGCAATAGTGCCACCACCTCCGCTAGCTCCACCACGACCACCACCCCCACCTTCTCCTCCACCCCCGCCACCTCCACTACCCCCACCACTCCCGTCCCCCCGACCGCCTCCGCCTCCTCCACCAACCCCACCACCCCTACCCCTCTGACGCCCACCCCTGTTGCGCCTCCCACTCGGAGCGGACGCCGCACCGACCTCCTCCGCACCAAGGAAGTCAACGCAGCAGAGGAAACAGATGATGCGAAAGGGGAGGGAGCACACCCCTCAAAGAAGGAGATGCTGGGGGTGCCACGAGAGGCAGCTACAGCGCGGGCACTAGCCTCAGGCTCGAGGAGACGAGTCTCAAACGAGGCAAGGGTGAGACTAGTGGGGTCTAGGGAGAGGAAGTGGTCTCGAAAAACACGAAGGGCGCCAGAGAGGCGAGTCACAAGGAAGTACAGAGTGAGGTACATGGGGACCTGGTTCTCAGCCAGAAACTATGGCAGGAGAGCAGCACAGTAGTGACTGTGAAAGGAGCTCAGATGGGTCATGAGGTCAACTATAGTGGTGAAGTCCGATAGCCCAGGGAGGAGAAACGGCAACGCAAGACGACCTAGGGTGCCAGAGGAGGGGGAGGAGTAGCGCTTAACTACAGTGGCATCGAACGCCTCGGTCGACTTCACCCGGCAAAAGTGGACCTTCTAGTCGGGCGAGAGGTGAGTGCGGACTGCAAGCGTACTAATGGCGTCGCGTGTCGCCCGCTGTATGCAGGTAAGGCGGTCAGCGCAGTATTTCTTCTGCACATCCTCTGCAGCGATAACGGCATGCTCTACTGGAGGCTTGGGGGCTTTGAAGGACCCTGACGTGTGCTCAAACAGCGAGGCATCGTCATCGGTAACGCTTTGCAGGTACAGGTGCAGGTCCTCTAGCCATGAATCGAAATATATAGGGCGCCCCTGCGCGTCAAATGTAAGGACAGTGACAGTCACCATGGTAGAAACTAGGTCAGGAAGCAGCACTAGGAACTAGCCGCATATTTAGGCACGGACAACGGCTTGGGGAATAGCACGGCAGCAGGCAGAGCGGTAGCTTGGCGCGACGCGACAATAGGTAGGGCGACGCGGCGCGGTGGTAAGTAGGAAGGTGTTTCGCGACGACGGTACGGCGCACGGCACGACGCGGCGCGACTCAAAAGGGCGGTTTGGCGCAGTAGGGCGGTGTGGCGCGGCAAGGCGGCAGCAGGTGGCACGGCAGCGGGCGGCCAGCGGGCTGCAGCGGGCCGGCAGCGAGCGGTAGTGCGGGGCGGTGCACGGGCAGCAGTGGGCCAGCATCGGGCAGCTGGCGGCAGCTGGCAGTGCGTGGGCTACAGCGCAGGTGGCAGCGCTGACAGCAGTGCCGCAGGGCAGGCTGCAGCGCGGGTGGCAGAGGCTGGGCAGTGTAGTGAGGCAGCGCGGGCGGCGGCGTGGGCGGCAGCGCGGCAACGCTCGGACGGCACGCGCAGGGCAGCACAGCAGCGCAGCGCAGCGCGCGCGGGACAGCGCGGGGCAGTGCGTGCTGGGCAGCGCGACACTGCTAGGCAGGCGTGCAGGGCAGCGTGGGGCGGTGCGGCAGCAGCAGCACAACAGTGGTAGTAGCATGACAGTAGGGCAGTGCGCACGAAGAGGCAGTAGTGCAGCTGGAATGAAACTGCTCGAATACCATATCAAGGAGTGAAACAGCGGAATGAATGCCCTAGCACAAGGTTGGGTACATATGGGAAACCCTAAGTGGGTTGTACCCTCTAGAGCATGCCTCATTACACCCTATCAGCAAATGTAACATGTGACATTATGAATTTGCCAATCAGGCAACAATAGTTTTTTTCGTGTCAGATGTCAGTGTCTTAATGATGCGGAACGGTTCCACGAATCTCGGACGAAGTTTTGCCGATTGGGGCAACCAGAGGTTCTTCGTGCCCAGAATTACCAGCTGTTCGACATTAATAGGTAAATCCCTTCGATGCCTATCGGCGTTGCGGATGGCGATGGTATTTGCTTTGGGAATGAACTCTGCTCCTTCATCACGGGCAGCTTGCAGTTCGGGTGTACTGGACGAGGGTACCACCGGATCATCCCATATGGAGTTAGAAGGGTAACTGGTTGGTCGTTGCTGAGGGTGCGTTGTCATACGCACGTTCCAGCATCGGGAGTGAACCCTCACACTAAGGCAGTTTAGGGCAATTAGTGCAAAACGGTTGCTCCAGAATCTGATTGGTCCGTTCGGTTTGACGGTAAGTTTGCTGGTGGCATGACAACGATAACTGCACGCGATTGCCGTATTGTGCCCACGTTTGCTGCCAGTTCAAGATTGAAAATCAATGTGAAGTCTCGGTCCTCTCATACTTGCTAATCGAAGCCTACTAGTTGGTGTCGTTTTGAACCAACCCAAGCTGTCACCAGTGCATAGCCTCTGGCTTGCTGAGATCGAAGCCGCGATCGGCTCGAAACGCGCCCGTAGCCCTGCGCACCACACGTCCCACATGCGGTATTGGGCGACTTTGCAGAACAAACTCCAGGTGACAGCCGGCCCCGAGGGCCTTTCCCCTTACGACATCGGGTCGTAGGCGCTCGGCGATGTTACGATAACTCGCCACCGCTCCATGGCAGGCCCGCGCAGCAAGGAAACTGCGTACTAAATCTTTGCTTCATCCGGCGTGACGTAATTCACGTAAAAAAAAAAAAAAAAAAAAAAAAAAAAAACGTTCATCGTGAACATCCACGACTGAATTGTCAGACCTCCACGCTGGCTAGGATCGAAACAGATCGAGCGCTGTGGCTTGAGTGGCATCAGCTCATAGATGTCATTGTTGCCGACATGTGCTGCACTTCTGATATGACGACGGGCTTTGTGAGGTGAATTTGTGCCCGGTGCCTCCCTGGTCTGCTCCATGCCCGGCATAGATTGGAGGGCGCCATCACTGATTGCTACTGAGCGCTGTCCCACGCTGTCGTGTTCCGATGGTGTCCTATATGAGATGATGATGGGTACTTCGGTTTGTGTAGGTGCGCTTGCTGGTGCCAGTGCTGGTGCATTCGCCGTCGACTGCTGTCGTGCGGAATCACGCTATGCTGTGAGTGTCGCAATTTCGAGCATAGATTCCTCCAGCTGGCGCATGAGTTCGTCGAGAGGCTCGTGCGTCAACGTCGCGAGCGCAATGCAGCAGGTTTCGTCCATGGCGAGGGTGTCGGGCTTGCTCTGCGGTAGCCTCTGTCGTGGCTGTTTGTGCTTACGAGAGAGTACACAAGCAGCGGTGTTAGTCGCTGAGGGACGTCTACCCCCCCAAAAATTGTGATCAGTTGGGAAGCGAAGCGCAGTCCAAACAAGACTCGACGTTTACGTCGGAAGGGTTGCATAGAGCTGTATCCCTTGTGTTAGAAACATTATTATAGAGTACATTGTAACTACATTTTGCTTATAGAAGCAATTCATTAAGTTTTTCATTTTTTTCTTAAAACATGACAGGCTCTATATTCCCCTATAATGAAGGAAAATGTTGTATAGATTTTTTCTTCCCTTCAATTTCTTTTCAGTGTTAATTGATTATGGAACACTCTGGACAATTATGTTCTTTTTGTAATTTTAATAAAAATAATTTGAATTCACCAACAACTTAACTCCACTGTTCAATCAGGTTATTATAGCGGGTTGGGCGTTGCAACTAGTGTATCTGATGTGTCAGCTAGTTGAATGGCGTTGGGTGGCATAACGCCCTCGTTCTGCGCTGGCAGAATTTTTCTCGTTCTGCGCTGGCATCCGTCTCTTTCACAGCTCGAATTCGGCGCTGTCTTTTCTTTGGTTGTTGTTCTTGGTTCCTCTCGACAAGCACCTGCTCTGCTCCTACTCCTTTTCCTCCCCCCCACCCCAATTTCTTGCCAGTTCTTCTCCCACCTAGCCGTCGCTCTCGCTCCCATCCAGCTGTATCCTCTCCCTCACTACCCGCCGTCTCCATCCACCCTGCCATCTCCTCTCCCTTACCTCCCCGCCGTCGCCTCTCCCTCCTCCCTGCCGTCGCCTCTCCTCCTCCCCGCCGTCGCCTCTCCTCCTCCCTGCCGTCGCCTCTCCTCCCCGCCGTCGCCTCTCCTCCTCCCCGCCGTCGCCTCTCCTCCTCCTCGCCGTCGCCTCTCCTCCTCCCCGCCGTCGCCTCTCCTCCTCCCCGCCGTCGCCTCTCCTCCTCCCAGCCGTCGCCTCTCCTCCTCCCCGCCATCGCCTCTCCCTCCTCCCCGCCGTCGCCTCTCCTCCTCCCGCTGCCGCCTCTCCTCCTCCCTGCCGTCGCCTCTCCCTCCTCCCCGCCGTCGCCTCTCCTCCTCCCTGCCGTCGCCTCTCCCTCCTCCCCGCCGTCGCCTCTCCTCCTCCCTGCCGTCGCCTCTCCCTCCTCCCCGCCGTCGCCTCTCCATCCTCCCCGCCGTCACCTCTCCCTCCCTCCCGCCATCGCCTCTCCCTCCTCCCCATCATCGCCTCTCCCTCCTCCTTGCCGTCGCCTCTGGCGACAGGTGCACGAGCGCAAGCGCGAGTTGGTGCGCGAGGGTGGGTCGGTGCGCGAGCTCGAGTGGGTGCGCGAGCGCTGTTTGGTGCGTGTGCGCGAGTTGGTGCGCGACGGCGGGTCGGTGCGCGAGCTCGGGTGGGTGCGCGAGCGCTGTTTGGTGCGTGTGCGCGGGTTGGTGCGCCAGCGAGGGTTGTTTTCTGAGGCATTGTAATTATCAGGTGCGTTCTCGGTCCTTTAATCCTCCCGCCCCCTTATATATTTTTTCTTTTCTGCTCGCCTTGTAATTTTTGTTAGTCAATTCGTCTCCTCTTGCATTGCACTTCTATTTAAAGAAGAGGAGCGCGTAAAGAAGAGGAGCGCGAGGGGGAGCGTGTGCACGGGAGCGCGTGAGAGTGCGCACGCGAGAGCGCGTGCGAGAGCGCGTGAGAGAGTGCGTGAGAGAGCGCGTGAGAGAGCGCGTGAGGGAGAGTGTGAGAGCGTGTGAGAGTGCGCGTGAGAGTGCGCGTGAGAGTGCGCGTGAGAGTGCGAGTGAGAGAGCGCGAGCGCGTGAGAGAGCGCGTGAGAGTGCGCGTGAGAGAGCGCGTGAGGGAGCGCGTGAGAGAAGCGAGTGCGCGTGAGAGTGCACGAGAGAGAGCGCGTCAGCGAGCGCATGAGAGAGCGCGTGGGAGTGCGCGAGAAAGAGCGCGTGACAGAGGGAATGCGCAAGAGAGTGCGCGAGAGAGAGCACGTGAGGGAGTGCGTGAGAGTCCGTGAGAGAGCGCGTGAGAGAGCGCGTGAGAGAGTGCATGAGAGAGTGCGTGAGAGAGCACGTGAGGGAGCGCGTGTCAGAGAGCGCGTGAGAGAATGTGTGAGAGAGTGCGTGAGAGAGCTGTGAAGGAGCGCGTGAGAGATTGCATCAAAGAGCGCGTGAGAGTGTGCGAGAGAGTGTGCATGAGAGAGCGCGTGAGAGAGAGAATGCGCAAGAGAGTGCGCAAGAGGGAGTGCGACGGAATGCGTGAGAGCCCGTGAGAGAGCGCATGAGAGATTACATGAGAGAGCATGTGAGAGAGCGCATGAGAGATTGCGTGAGAGAGCATGTGAGAGAGCGCATGAGAGTGCGCGTGAGAGTGCGCGTGGGAGAGCGCGTGAGAGGGCGAGTGAGAGTGCGAGCGAGAGAGCGCGTGAGAGAGTGCACGAGAGAGCGTGTGAGAGAGTGCGCGAGAGAGCGCGTGAGAGAGTGCGTGATAGAGAGAATGCGCGAGAGAGTGCGCGTGAGGGAGCGCGTGAGAGTGCGCTTGAGAGAGCACTTGAGAGAGCATGAGAGAGCGTGTCCGAGAGTGCGTTAGAGAGTGCAGGAGAGAGGACATGAGAGTGCACGTGAGTGTGCACATGAGAGTGCACGTGAGGGAGCGCGTGAGAGCGCGCGTGAGAGAGCGCATAAGAGAGCGCGTGAGAGAGCGCGTGAGTGAGCGAGTGAGAGCGCTTGAGTGTGCGCATGAGAGAGCACGTCAGAGAGTGTCAGAGAGCGCGTGAGAGTTCGCGTGAGAGTTCGCGTGAGAGCACGTGAGAGTTCACGAACTTGATAAGTCGACAAGATATATGCCCATGCTAGCTGCTCGGCTTTCTCTTGCTGAGAGAAACCAGAGATGGACATTCGGATGGGTGGAGAAACACATCGGTTTAGCACCATGAATGCAAGCATTTGGCCCTTTGCGTACTCCCTTTGTTGCAAGGGGTTGTTCGGGGCAGGGCTTGGTGCTGTCCCGTTGCAAAACTGCCACAAATCAGCACACTGGAGCTGAGTTCGGATGGTGCTGACCCACGCGGTAAGGTCGTGCCTTCCCTCCAGCAGCGGCGTCACGGAGATGTGTTCAACTCCAAACTTGAATTGACTGTAGCTCGTCCCGATCAATCCCACGTCAACGTTCAGTGCAACAGCTCCTCCGCCAATGCCCACGGCAGTTGGAGCTTCGTGCACAGCTCCTCCTACACCACTTCCTCCTTGCTGGCCGCTCGAAGGTGCTTGCTCCGCCGCGCGCTCCCAAACCATGCGTAGTAGACGACCGTCCACAATGAGGTCGACCTCCTCATCACGCAAGTTAGGGTGGTGCTCACGAACAGACACCTCCAGCTCCTGACGGGCATTCAGGCCCTCGGCGCTCGTTAACCACTCCATCCGCGGTCAAAACGAGCGTCGGCCACACCAACAAGGGGACGAAGTGAGGGAGGACGAAATCAAGCCGCTAGTTGGATCGACGCAGATAACGCAGCTCTGATACCATGTAGAGTTCCACTACTATAGCAACTTGATAGAGCTCAGAAGCACGATTCCAACGCACCAAAGATTGCAGGAAACGGTCCACTATAGTCAGAGATACACACAAACATAGCAGTGATAATGACTTGGTTGATTTCTGGTTTTTGCTCTCTGGTTTTATACTAGGACGCAATACAAAATAAAAGCACACAAGAAAGTGTCGACTCGGGTCGCATGTTGAATTTCGTCGACGCGAAATTCGGAGCCTTGAATTTCGCCGAGCGAATTCCATTGACTGGAATTCCGTAGACACGAATTCCCGCGACAAGAATTCCGTCGACCACCGACTGTAACTCCCGTGCGAATTCCGTTGACTTCGACACTTCGCTGCCGAGTTTCAAACCGAACGCGACCCGAGATCGATTTCGCCAAACTGTCCCCAATCCGTCCCCAAACTGTCCCCAATCTGTCCTGACAAGACACTTTCGGGACACTTGAATCAAAAGGTCTCCAGTTTGAAACTCGTGTGCACCATAACCAGCGCCTTAGCAGAAACTGTCCTGAATCTGTCCTGAGACACTTTCAGGACAGATTTGAAGGCCACGAGTTCGAATCCCAGCGCAGACATTTTGTTGCTCATGGCAGCATTTCCTTCTAACACACAATAACCTATCGCGGAAGTGCCGAAGGCTGCTGAAGGGACTGAGAAGAGGACTGCGGGGAGGGAGACGCTACCTGGCGGGCGGCCGATGGTAGAGGGGTAGCGCGAGACACACTTGACGGGCAGGACCACGGGGGGGTGGGGGTTCCGGAGGAGCGGGAGCTGGAGGAGGAGAGGGTGCGAGGAAAAGGGGAGGAGGGGGGGCCGGGAGATCTGGATAGGGGTAGCGAGCATACTAAGACACTGAGTCATCAAACCGCTCGTCACGGGAGTCGAGGAAATGGTGGAGGGGTGGATGGTAAAACGCAAAGTTAGGAGAGTCGACTGGGAAACCAAGGAAGACACAGGGGATGGTGCAAGCCGCATCGTCAATGTAGTCGTGGTGGGCGGTAATAGGGTTGTCCTCTTCAGACTGTATTGGCTTGCCGACGACTTTCTTTGGGTCAAGTTTTGGTGACCGTGCATGACGTTCCCCCCTTGTGCGATGCATTGCTATGTTGCTAATGATATTTGTTGTTCCTCCCACATGTGATGTTTGTGGCGGTTGCTGTGCCGGCGGACATGGAGTTTGTTGAGGCTGGCGTGCATCTTGTTGGCCGACCCAATCATTGTGGTGATTGGAGTTTGGGTGGGGTGTGTTGGATCAGGATCTGCATCAATTCGTTGAGTGCCCAAAGGTCTTGCAAGTTTTGCAGTAGTGGCATTGCGGTTGTCTTCGCTGTTCTCTGTTGTCCGTGTAGAAGGCGAGGCGTTCTCGTCTCGACGTGGAATTTGTTTTGTTGTTTGAGTCCATATCTTGCTGTTCGACGAGAAGGGCGGGGAGCTTATGAAATTGCTCCTTGCTATCGGAGTAGCGCCTTGCAGGGCCTCCACTCTGGCCTGAGTCCATGGAGCACTATGTTGAAGGATATTTCTTCGGACATGGTGCTTCTGTGCTTCGCGATTTGATCGCGAATGCTACGACAACAATGAATGAATGAATTTGCGTTTTCCCATGCCCCATATTCATCTCCATGAGTTGCTGCAAGAGCCTGCTAGATGTGACCGAATCCTTCGGCTGGTTCATCTTCGTGAGGTACCTCCAGGCCTCTAGTAGTAGTAGATCTGCGCGATTTGTAATAATAACTCTAATTCAAAGCTCCATGTGTAAAAGTCTGCGCGGTTTGTAATTGTTACGATAAGAATGAATTGATAGAAAATGTGAAGTACAACCCTAGATATAGCAAACCCTAATCATGCAAGGAAGTAGAAATGTAACACCTAGACTAACCTAAACAACACATATAAAATATATGTTGACACACCCCCATAGTCTAGGTGACGGTAACCCCGTGGAAAGACAACACATATCTCAGGGTGGGTCTCAAGGACACACACAGTCTGAGAGCAAGCAAAAGAGCCACAAGGCCAGTTCACATGCAAATATATAGCAAATATATTAAGATGCAAGAGTACAAGACAATAAGGACAAAGCATCTACGTAAGCAAGTGAGGACGGGCCCGCACAAGGCCAAGCTGGGTGCAGAAACGCTGGTGATCACAAGGTGGCAACGGCTTGGTGAAGATATCTGCAGTGTTGGCCTCAGAGACCACACGTCGTACGAGTGCCTGGCCACGCTGCTGCAACTCACGCAGAAGGAAATAACGAAGCTGGATGTGCTTCGCTTTCCCAACCAGTCGGGGCTCCTCACACAACAGGACGGCAGACCTGTTGTCAGCGAACAAGACTGGGGGAGAGCGAGGCCGCTCACCAAGGTCGATGAGAAGGAAAAACAGCCAGCGAAGCTCCTGAGCGGCCATGGCCGCAGCGTAAACCTCTGCCTCACAGCTGGAACCGGCGACGGACGTCGCCCGAGTCGACCGCCACGAAACAGCACCTGCCCCGAGGCTAAAGGAGTACCCCTGTGTAGACCGATGCGTCTCCGCGTCGTCGGCCCACGACGAGTCCGAGTAACCTGTAAGTGTAACTGGCTGCTTCCCTCCAAGGACAAGTCCCATGCCTGATGTACTCGCCACATACTTCGCCACCCTCTTAGCAGCGTACCAGTGGGACGGTCGGTGTCTCCCAGGCGCAACAAAGCGCGCAAGTACGCTAAGAGGGTAAGCTAGGTCTGGGCGAGTACATGTCATCAGGTACATGAGACAACCCACCAGCTCAGGATATGGACCACTGGACTCAAATGACTCGTCCGAAGGTGGAGCCATGAGCCCATGATCCACACCAAGAGGAGTGAGCTGTACCTTGGAGAACGGGAAGCGAAACCGCGTGAGGATCTGCTCGACCATATGCGACTGAGTCAGCGTAATGGTGCGAGCTGCCCTGTCCCTGGTGATCTGCAGGCCAAGGTAGTGCTGCAGCTCACCAAGGTCAGTGCAAGTGTGTCTCCTCTGCAGTTCCTCCTTCACGGAGGCCAGCGCGCGTCGGTCGGGAGTGGCGAACACCAGGTCGTCGAAGTAGACCAGGACAAAGAACGGGGTCGAGCCACGGCGAACGAACAGTGACGGGTCAGCAGACGACGGAAAGATGTCAAGCGCTGCAAGGGTCGAGTGAAGTGTGTCGTACCACTCACGTGGAGCCTGACGCAGGCCATAGACTGGTCGACGCAGCTGCCACTGGGTCCCAGGTGGGAAAGAGTCAGTGAAGCCAGGCGGGTGACGCAGCCAGATCTGCTCGTGCAGGCTCCCCTGAAGGAACGCGGTGGAGAAGTCCAAGGAGTGCAACTCGTAGTCGCGCTGGGCTCCAATATGCAGCAACACCCAAAGAGTACTCATCTTCGGGGTGGGAGCGAAGGTCTGGAAGAAGTCCACCCCCTCTCGCTGACTGAAGCCTCTCGCCACATAGCGCGCCTTGAACACAGGTGGTGATCCAGGCGGCCGCTTCACCTTGTAGAGCCATCGGCCATTGACGACGTTCGTCCCAGGTGGTGGGACTGCGTCGACGTAAGTGCCTGTGGACCTATAAGATGCCATCTCTGCCTCCTCAGCTGCTATCCAGTACGAAGCCCAGGGTCCCGAGACCGCCTCGGCGTGAGTGCGAGGGATCAGGATGTCAAGGGCGGCTGGATCCTCCTCAGGGGCAAGTAGCATGGTGCAGAGATGAGGAACAGCGGCCGCAAGAAAACCAAGCTCGAACTGCCTGTCCTCGAGGACCTCTAGGGGAAAAACAAGAGCACCCCCAGGGAACGGAGAACGAGCAGGGCCACTCACCAAGTGAGCGGCGTAGTCAAGGCGGTGGGAAGAGGCAAAGCCAGCGACAGTGGTAACAAGTGCCGAAACAGACGACAGAGGTGCAGTCGGGTGAGTGACCAACGCGGACAAAACACGGGAGACGACAGGACGGGAGGCACGGAGGTAGTCGGACAACGGGTCGTGAAGCACAGTGAGGGACGACTCAGGGGGCTGTGCAAGGACAGGAGGAGGTGGAACACGAGAGCGAAGAACAAGGTGGAACGGACCTTCTGCACGGTAACGGGACCGACGACGCTCTGGGGACACAGCACGACTGAGGGGAGAACGACGAGTCCACTGGGACGAGGAAAGGGACTCAATAGGGGGAACAGGAGGGGACGGTAGGGGACCACGAACAAAGCGTGCAGGTGCTGGGTCGGGGAGGTCGTGTAGTCGCAGTCGCTGCTGCTCCGTCTCCTCTGGCGTCTGCTGCGACGGCACCGGCCCCTGCTGCTGCTCCTGTGGCTCCGCCTCTGCCCTCTCCTGCTGCGACTGCAGCTGCACCCGCTGCTGCGAGCGGGACTCCTGCGCTACCCTCTCCTGCTGAGGTCGTGACTCCTCCTGTACTCTCTCCCGCGGGGTCTGTAACTGCACTTGCTGCTGCGGGTGGGACTCCTGCTCTACCCTCTCCTGGTGCGGCCGTTGTTGGTGCAACCCTACGGTTTGCACTCGGCTTGTTGTCCGTGTGCGTGAATGTGTGTGTGTATGGAATGGTATGAGGGCATGGGATAATATATATTTCATGCTTATAATTGTGTGTGAATGTTGAGTCATGATGTCGAGTGTGTGTGTCGAGTCAATAGCGAGTTATCGCTAGACGCGTGTTACGCGGTCGTTTGTGTCTCGCGCGCGGTTTCTATTTTGTCGTGCGCGGTTTCTATTTTGTCCTGTGTCGAACGTTCGGCGTGTCGCAGGTGTGTGCAGCAGACCCATCAAGAACTCAAGGATGAGTTTGTGATGAAGAGCCCGAGCCTTGGTGTCAAGCCTCAAGTGATTTCGAAGCTCGCCAAAAGGGTACACCTCAATATAT